GCCTGCCAGATTTTTATCTAGATAATTGGAACTGCTATGGAAGCTGTGCTTTGCCGGCCAGCTTAGGATCTGTAAAGCCATAGTTTGTCCACCTTGTTATCTGTGGCTGGCTGGGCAGAGGAAATTAAAGAGACCCACGGCCGGCCAGGGGAGTGCCTCCTAACCCTGACCTCCCCAGCGATTCCCAACACGACAGTTTGTACATATCATCTTTTCGTTCTTATTTTTTGGTTGTTTTTCAATTTTTGTTTGCGTGTGTGTGATTTTGGCATGTGGATACCTATTTCCCTCCACATCGCGCATCGTGTTTTATGGAGTTTGGAGCTGAAGAAACTTTGGTTGGGTTGCCAGGACATTCGCACCACTTTGTGGAAAGCAGGAGCTAACAGTGAGACCGACAGAGTGAGTGACAAGTTGTTTACAGGTTTCCTTGAAGGGGCCTCTGCTATATTTCAATCTGTCAAAGTTGCTTTTCTTCCCACAGAACAATGCCTGATTGTTGTGTGTGAGCGAGTGAGTGTATGTGTGTGTGTGTGGTGTGTGTGTGTTTCCGTGTGCACTTGGAGAGAGGCTGGAAAGGGGTGAGAAGGAATAACAATTCTTTGTGTAAAACTGCTATTACTAAAATCTAATCTTTTTGCTTAATTAGTTAATAAATGCAATTTGATCGGGGTTCTGTGATTGCACACACTTCTTTTTAAATCAGCGAATGAATTTTACAGAATCATACTGGAGTGTGTGCGCCTGCCTCTGTGTGTGTGTGTGTGTGTGTGTGTGTGTGTGACTTTTATTATTTAGAGGAGAGAGAGTATGGGAGACGTGTTAAATGAGTTGACTTCTCACATTCGGTGATGTCTAGAAGAGAGAATTAAAAGGAAAGGACAGGCACCCTGAGGTTGTCTAGAGCTTTGCAGCTGAGCGTGCCTCTCCTGGAGGGCGGAGGGGGGAGCAGCCAGACCCTGCTTGCTGCTGGAAGTGCGCTACCCCTTTAAGAGACTGGTCAAGGAGTCCTAGGAGAGGGAGAAGAGGGGAGGGGGGAAGGGGGGAGAGATTGAGAGAGAGAGAGAGAGAGAGAGAGAGAGAGAGAGAGAGAGAGAGAGAGAGAATCAATTGGTTTAGAAGGTTTGGACTCACTTGACAGGTTCAGTTGGAGACGATCATAGGTGGCTGCTGTGACAAAGGGAAATTGTGCTTTTCCAGCATGCTTACTGACCCTGATTTACCTCAGGAGTTTGAAAGGTGAGTACAGTTTCTTTCCCACTAATATATTGAAGTACAACTCTCCCATTTTACAGTAGTCTCTGAATCAGTTGGAAGATGCTCCCCCTAAATGTGTTTGTTAGAGAAGCTTTTAACCAGGGCTTGTGCAATCTTGTTAGCTGATTTTTGTTGATTGCCCGGACTAAACTGAACTGATTTGCAAAGTCTCGGAGATTTCAGCTAGTGTTTTTAGATTGCATCCTATAACAGGAAATTAAATGAACACTAAGCATCTCTCTCCTACTGGCTGTTTCTCTTCCTCATTCTGTCTCCTACTTTTTTCTTCATTGATTTTTTTCTTCTCTTTTACACCTTTTAAATTTTTTTTTTTTGTGTGTGTGCAGAGTGTTAACCATTTTCAGTATCTCTGTCTCCTGTAATTGCTGGCTGACAGAAGGTTTTAGTGGTGGTTAAAACGGAGGTTATAAGTTCCTATTCGATGATCCTTCCGTAAAACTTTGGAAGCTGCTCAGTAAAGCACATGACCTTTTGTTGATATAAGAGAGTAGGATTTTTTTTTCTCAAAGAAAATTTAACATCACCAATTACATACTAGTAGATTACTCTGGAAGTGTCAAAAGAAAAAAAAAATGAGAGAAGGGGGAAGTGAAGCTGGTCTCTTTCTAAGTTTTAGTGGCCACTTTGTGCTAGCTGTCTTAGCTGAATTTTGATTTACTACATTTTCCCCTTTTGCTATGATGCGAGTGAGTGTATTTGTAATTAAGTTGTTACTATTTAGAGAAATCTGTACAAAGTCCTTGTATTTGCTGTCGTTGTAAGTAAAGTAGGGTTTTAAAAGAATTCTAGCCTTTTTTATATTCCTATAAGTATACATTGCATTTTTAAAATTTGAATTCTTATCCCAGCATAAGTTCATTTTTTGGAACTATAAATAGATTTTTGTTTGCCATTAAAAAGAATTCAAACTTTGTATTCTGTATGGCGAATAAAAAAGCTAAAATAAGCCAGGATGCATGATACTCAGGCTTTTTTTCATTTTCATGAAAGCTACCTTCTGTATAAACATTTGTTGTATCTGACTATGCAATGCAAGCTAGGTGCTAGACCAGCTGGTTAAAAATATGCTAAGTCAAGCTGTTCATCGTTCAAACGACTGAATTTGATATGAAAAGACGAAAAAAGAAAGGACAAAGATTAAAACATTCTAGCAGCAAAGAAATGGAAGAGAAAAAGAGTATTGAAAATAAAATAACCCTTGGATGTGGTCTTATTTTAGAGAAGCCAGTGGCAGATCAGGGTGTAAAGTAAAATAGCCAGCAAGTCTACTTTAATAGTGTCTTTCTGATATTTTCTCTTTTTAAAAAATTAACCAGGTGTATCTTTACTAGATAATTCCAGTGAATGGTCAAACTTTCTTAACAGCTGTGACTTTATTTTTTTTTCAAAGTTTTATATATTAACTCTAAATTCTAGTTTTCATTTGCACATATAGCTTTAGTTCATATGTAGATATTGAAGTTATTCATAGTGGAACACACTATTGCCCTATATAGCAATTTGTTTATCTAACACAGTTTCTGGCATGTGCAGAATAGCACTTAAATGATAATTTTCCCTAATTCTAATTATACATTTTGAAAATAAAACTCTGAGTCAGATTTGTAAGGCTGTTAACAGATTGTTCTTATAAAAAGGTAGTTACATATTAACAGGCTGAAGCCTATTTCTCTATATAGGCAAGCTTCCTGCTGTGAACTTTATTTGTATTTTTTCAATTATCTTTTTTTAAACTAAACTTTTCCCTTTTGTATTCTGATGTTCAAATCTCTTAATGTTGCTTTATCTTCCTGGTGAGAATTTCTTTCTTTTCTCTTTTTTCTTTATTTTTGGTCACCCAGAGGCATGCTTTTCTACCTGGCTAATTAACTAAGCAAGTGATAATCAATAGGGTTGTTAATATGGACATCTTATTTGGAAATATATTGTAAGTAATTGTACAAATTATCATATACTATAAAACTATCAAATAATTTCCCCTGTGGTTATGATTGATAATACATACAAGAAACTCAGCAAATCATTACTATTTGTTTACACTGAATTTGTACGGTGAACATATCTACAGTCAATCACATATAGTATATCATGCAGACACAATTATGGATATTTATATTATCCAAAGGAAGTATAGATGATGTAACTGCGCTATCATATATAATGATTTTTAAAAATTTCAGCTAGTTGCAGCTTTCACTGAGTAAGTAGATCATTTCTACTGACTTAATTTTTATTCTGTTTTCTCACCTGCCATAGATGAGTTTTCCAGTCAAACTTAAAAATCTACAAAGAATACTCTAAATTTCATTCATTATGAAACAAAACTTTGGTATAAGTTGCTTGGGGTTTATGTATTATAGAAGTTTTATTTAATTCATTCAATTTATTTCTAATTTTATTGGTATTGTCCCTTTTCTGTTATTCTTTGCAACCTGTAGACTAGTTGAAACTTTAGTGAATATTCAAAACTTAGAATCCAGATCAAAATTTGAATTTAGATATGTATGCTTCTGTTATTTCCAGCTGTAGATATGAATATGGTCAATACTCAGGATAATAGTTATTAATACTTAAGAATTAGTAATAATTTTATTGCTTAAACATATTCAGTTGTGGAACAAATATACAAGTAATTCTAAAAAGTAAAAAATCTTGAGATAATTCATTTTTATTTTGAAGCATCCATGTCATAACTGATTATGATTACTGAAAAATTTAATTCCTATGTAGCAGATGAAAAGGCAATGCATGTTATGAAGCATTATGTGTAAGAAAAGTATTTTACATCTTGTTGGGGAAGTAGAAATGGCAACATAATTTAAATGGCATCATTATAATGAATGCCTGTACTCTCTTAATATTTTCAAGAAGTGAATGCTTTTGTACATTTAATTACAAGTAAATAATGAAAAATTGTGACTTAAGGTTTTTCCTTTGAAAATGTCACCTATTTCTTGATATTCCCGGAATAAAAGTGCTTAACATTTTCCCTTTAAATTACAGTGTTAGAAATGTGAAACAGTTTTGATAGTTTATCACTAATACTGTATTATATTTCTGTCCTTATTTTTATTTGTCCTATTTGATTATAATGGCATAGTTTTATGACTAAGCTACTTGTTACACTTTGTAATTGCTTTATCCTAGGGACTTAATTAAAAAGCAATTATAAAATGATTGCTTGAGAAGACAGCCTGATAATGTCTAGAAAAGAAAAAAAAAAAGTTAGGATTGAAGGTACTGGGATACAGCAAATGCTATCATCTGTTCCTTTGCTTCTCTCAAAACGGGTGCAGATAATAGCCTATTTCCTAGAAGATGAAGAAACACCATAGGAGAAAAACCTTCCACAACAAAAATTCACTCAACTTGTGTAGTTCATTTCCTCATCAAACTTATTTGTGAACATACCAACTATAGAACTTCTTTTCTTATCAGGAAACTTTTAAGTGTTTTTCTGAAGAAAGAAATGCACCACAGATACTATGGAAAGCTAATTGTGCAAAATAGCCATGAAAAACTATTGTTAGCAGGCAGCAAGAACATCTCTGACACTATTGGTATTTTAATTACCTAAACTTTGACCATACTAATAAAATATGCATTTCCAAAACATTTATTTTGCTTAATTGGAAACTTTTAAAACCACTCTTTTTATGAGTGATGAGTACATTCCGGTTAACAGGTACCCTCTAGGTGTGAATCAAAGAAAAGTCATCTATTCACATTCTGTCACCTATGACAATTGTAAATCTGTAAGATGGCTAATGTGTTTTCAGGGTTTTCTGATATCTTCTTTTGAGCATTTTATTTGCTTTTATTCACCTACTACATTTTAGAAGGAAAAGTGTGTATAACTCATTACAGTTCTTAATTACCAACTCAATAATTTGCAGGCTAACTGAGCAAAGACTTTGGCTTAAAATGCAGTTTGGATGAAGTAGTTTATAAAACACAGTTCTGTCATATGCACACTGGAGGACTGTCCTGAAGAGCTGGCAGGAGACCTGGTCGAGTGCAAAGAACACTTAAGAGTTAAATGCCAGGTGGCATTATGTATTGCTTAGTGTTTAGCAGATTTGATAAAGAAATTGCAAATATCACATGTTGGTGGATTCATATATTTCTTAGATATAATAAGCACATGTTGAAGTATTTACCTGTTCTTGGGGAACTAAAATCTATATGTGTATCATAAGTGAGAGGCAAATAATAAGGGCTGTTCTGATTCTTAAGTACATTATTCCTTCATAGACTTGGAATATATTTCATTCATAATGCATTTAGAAAGCAAAATTACATTTCTGGGCAAAGTCTGAGTTTTATTGTCTGTTCTTTCCACTATCAAGTCTTCAGCCACCTAATGAGTATATTGTATAATGCAGATGTACATTATGTAATCTGAATGCAGCCCTTTTTATAGATTAGTTTAATAAGTGTAACTAATGGATTCTGTTTTCTTACATAATTTGTTATTCATTTATACTTTCAATGAGGTTAACCAATAGCACAGCAAATAAACTAATCTAAGTTTTTCTCTTGTACTAATTCACATACAGTTTCAAATGTCAGATCTGCGACGGAGGTGATGGCAGTCAGATAAAAGATGTTCAAAGATTTAACCAAAGCCTTGAAATGTGTTCTTACTAAAGGGGAAATTCAGTTGAATGAGAAATAGACTAAAACATCACAGTGTCTTCCTTCTTTCATTCATTCTGCTTTCCCACTTTTTCATTGATTGATAGCATCACCATAGGAAGTAAGTGCATGTAAAATTCACTTGCTGTATGGTTGAATATGATCAAGGGATATTGCTGGGAGAGGACAAGAATCTAGAGGCTGATACTATTTTGCATGGGTGTACAGTGTTTATTTGGACATACTTTAGGAATATGCCTCATATTCCTTGATGTTAATCAGGAACTGATAGCTGTTCAGGAAGAGAAGACCTTTTTAGCCTTTCTGACTTCTGTGTTTTCTACTGCAGCTTGGAAGTTGTTCTCCCTTACTAGCTGAGAGTTCATACATCTCCTCTGTAGATATTGTGGCGTATGGTTCTGCTTGTCCAATAGGGGGGTGTTGCATCTTTCCACATTCAGTATCCTTTTCCCTTGGAGTCTGAGAGTAAAACCTCAGCAGTACTCCCTGCCTTTGCCAGCCCGAGGAGTCAGAGACTCAAAGTTGCTCCCAGTTCTTGCGCCTTCATTGTAGAGCTACATTCTGCTCATTGGGCTGCCGAGAAGGACCAGACCGAAACAAGATTCAGAAGAATTCTGGTGAGAACTGTTTATAGGGATATGGTATTTTAAAAGAATGTAGTAAACAAACAGAATTGTGGCATAAACAAAGATAATTAGCATAAACAATGTCGTTTTAGGACAGGTGGTTTAAAAAACAAACAAAACAAAAAAACCCAAATGTGAACCCAATTTGAATGCTGCCAGTTTGGAACCACTGAACCTTAATCTGTACTTCATGAGAATTACCCAGGTTTGTTGATAAACTTGTTAACATGCATTTTCTATTTCTTTTGTATCATTTTCCGGTCATTATGCCCTTTTGTCAACCAGCTTGAAAGTAATTAATCTATTACAAGGTAGTTTAAGGACTTTTTGCTCATAAAATGTGACAGAAGGAAAATTAAAAACAAAAGCTTGTAGATATACATAGACACTTGAAATCAATGTCGAACCTTAAAGCAATTAGACGTGATCTTGGCTCATTGTATTTCAAAATTTTCTTTTATGTAAGTAGCATTTCAGTCACTTGGCTCTTTAGTATTAATATGTTTGCTTTTATCTTGCCTTAAAATGTAAAAATTTTTTTCTTTTTCCTGTTTCTTTCCTTTTTTTTTTTTTTTTTGCTATATCTGAATCATCTCTGGTGTTAGGTATTATTTCTCATAACTGTTTTCTTGTATAACTTAGTGAAGGTGGTGCAGGGGTATATAAATGTATCTGGTGATCATGCAGCGTGAGGATGCTAGTTATTGTGAGTGACATACCTAAACTTATTATACTGTTGTGATGGATTTTTAAATCTGGAGACATTTAGGTTTATCTCTAAGTGATGTGTTTTACTTAATGACTCTACTGAAATGCAATGTGGAAAACACAATGCTATTTATTTTTCTTCATTAAGAATCAAAATTTTTATTGGTGTATTCTTTCTTTTCTTTTCTTTTTCTTTCCTTTTTTTTTTTTTTTTTGACCTGGTGAAGGAAAACCAAGAATTCTAAGTGGGAATATCTCTGGTATTCTACGGCCCATCTTTTTGCTTAACTGAAAGCATTTGTGAATATTTGTGAATGAGTTTTGATTTCTTAAGAGTTATAAAAATGTGTGTAAACTAGTAAACCATGTCTCATTCATGTGCTGTGGAGATTTCTTGTACTTTAGGGACAAAAATAATTTGGCTACTAACGAATTAGGGCTACCTGCCAGTGCCAACACATACTGTAGGTAAGAGGCACACTATAAAGAAAAGCTGCTGGCAGCAAATTGGTTGAAACTTTCATATGTAACAGCGTTTCTATTTCTGTTCTTCACATCTTTGAAGAATGTGTGTTTTAGAAAAGAAAATGTTAAAAAACAGAAGATATGATCTTTCTTAAAAGTGTATGTGTAGCTCAACTTGATTACTTCTCATTGCGGAAATGCACAAGGTTTCATTATGCTCCTTGTGCACTGTCTCCTCCGCCTATCACCATCATCCTGCCACGGAAACCTACGAATCAAATGTGTTGGAAATAAATGTAATGTGAAGAAATGAAACTGACTACCTAGAATGGCTTCTAAAATGCCCCCAAATGTTTTAAGATTTTGATAGTGGTAGTTTAAAGGAGTTAAGTCACTTGAGACGCAGAGCAACTGTTTCATAAAGGATTTGTCTTTTCATCTAGGGCTTCAGGTATAGTACTGAGGAAAGACAGGAAAGGGTTAACTACTTTGCTTTCTGTTAGTTTCTTCATTTACTGCTATAAAGAAGACAAAGTTTCAAATCACGTTTTCCTGGTACATTATAAATCAAAATGTATTAAAATGTACTCAGTGTTTAACACGGATTTTGACTTTGTTTTCTGTCTTTTTTTATATTAATTAGGATTGAGCTACTAAGAGGATAGCAGGCTATGTGGAAACTGGTTATGGAACTGTTACATGCGATCTGTTGAAATATCATTTTAAACAATTTTCTATTTATTTATGAAAAGGGCATCCTAATGAAACCAAAACACAGACATTAAAAACGAGAAATATGTTTTAACTTAAGAAAATGCAAAATTAAAAAAGTTCTACTTTATACTATTAATTTTTCTTTCACAGTTAGTATAGGTTGCTTGAAAAAGTTCTGAAACATTTTTGTCCTAATTATAGTTAATCTATTATTTGTTTATCTACAATTCTTCCTTTCAGTTACTTACCCTGAACCAGAGTCTGTTGGGCAATAGTTTACAAAGTCCAAAGACTTTTTTATTTACTCCTGTCCTGATGTTCCTTTGTTTTTACCTTGTTTATATTTGCTATAGAATTTCATAATATGTTTGAAAAGAGATTGCAGGAAGATGTCATATATGGTTAGTATTTCCTCTCTGCTTTCTTATTTGTAGTATAAGAGACCCGTATTGAAAACTCACCAGGATAATGTATAGTATTTGCAGTATTTAGTAGAAAGAAGAATGAACTGGTGATCACACTGTTCAATTTCTGATTAATTCACTGATTAACTTCGTGAATGAATAATAACTGAATATACAATATATGATTCTCAGAATATCATATCCTTCTAGCATTGTTAGGAGATGAAAGAAAACTTTTTATTTAATATGTAAAGTAATAGTAATAAAAACACCTAGGCATAGTAAAACAAAGATAACCACGCATGCTGTTTCTGACAATGGAAATTCTATACCATTCAATCCTAAAGGTAACGTGATTTTTGAGTTAGAAGAAAGGGCATTGTTTTTAGTGCCCTAAGGACTATAAGCTAAAAAATTTGGTAGTATAGTCTGATTCATATATTTTAGCATTTCTTGAAAAATAGAACAGATCTATTTTGACCCACAAATATTTTAAGAATATTTAATGATTTAAAAGCATTCTTCTAGAGGAAAAAAAGCATATCCAAAAGAATCCTAATAGTGATTTAAATAATTGAGTGAAAGAGCAGAATATATAAACTTTATAAACAAATTAAACAGAAGTGGGAGTCCTTGATAGTTATGTGAAGAATTTATTTTGTGATTTATAAAAATTCTGGAGATACACACACATGAAAGTTAGGAATTCAGGGGAAACTTTTTCATTTTAGACAATCTTTTAAATAAATCCTACCAAATCCTGATGAAACTACATTTTGGAAAGAGGGTCCTGTAAAGAAGATATATTTCAAAATACAAGCAAGCTCCATTCTTTTTTTCTCATTTCTAACAAATAATACTGTGACATGTGCAACAGAGACATAAAATAGTATTTCAGCATTAAAGACCCAAAGGTCATGTTGTGGTGCATATTTAATGAAAAGTTGGAAGTTGGATTTAAATTAAAGTTGAATTGAAGTATGCTTAACTAAGTTTTTGTGATGTTTGAGGTTTAATGTTGAGATAGTAAGAAAGTTAAGAGTTAGAATATATATATATATATGTGTATATATATATATATATATATATATATGAACTTTTATTGTGTGTATTTTAAATTTCTAACGTAACAACCTCTATTTTGGTTAAGATTTGCATTTACCAAATCTTCACTGAATCTTTTTTTTTTTTTCCCCCGAAGGAGAAAATAGTTTTAGGTGGACATATCTGAAGCCCTAATAATTTGCAAACAGGGACCCTCTTTGAGTCTTAAAAGTTAAAATAAGAAGACAGACTGAGATTTCTAAATTCTCTTAACTTTAAAATTTCATCTTGTGAAACTATACATTTAACATATCCTGAACTCCTAGTTAGTAGTCAGAATTCTTGTATTTATGCAGCTATTTGGAGACAGAGTATGTCAAATAAGCAGCCTTTACCTGTGGAATTACTTTAGTAAACCTATCAGTTGTCATTTTGCAGGAACAAGTAACCAGAATATATTTTGTGAACTTTTAAATCAAGTTTGATGTAAAATTCTTACTTAGGATTAAGTGGCTCAGTTTCTATGAACTGTTTGAAGAGTTTCAAATGAGAAGATTCACAGGCTACGTGGTTAAATTTCTCAGGTGCTTCAAATCACTTGTCTTCCACCATTACAAATATTGTAAAGATAAATCATATATGATGACTGAATGATATACCATGAGGAGGGAGGATAAGTGTGAAAATGGAGCATTGGGTTAAAGAGCTGAAGTCTATTTATGAAGATAAGAAAAAAAAAAAAGGATAAGAAAGCAGAGCATTAAGAAACCACAGAAGTATAGAAAGTATATATCATTGTTGGAATAAAGAAAACATTGGACTGGAAAATAGCAAAGTTAACTAATATTAACTAAGGTAGTCCAAAGGAAGAGTTTTAAGTGTGTTTTTGCAAATAAACTATTACCATTAACACTAGGCTATCTAACTTGATATACATTAGTTACTGACTGGCAATCTCTAGAACAGGAATGTCAAACCCTCTAAGGATAAGAAATAGGACAACCACCAATGAAAGATGCACGAGAAAAATCCAGGTTATCTGGGAGGACAAGATGCACATATTGTTAATATTTTACACTTGGTACATTTATGATAGGCTTTTTAAAAACACCTTTTAAAAAGTGCAGGTGTACCATCAAATATATATTTCTTCATACACATTGAAGGGCCTTTTGTATTGTTTCTACTTTGAAAACACACCTAGGATGTTTTGAAATCTTGGTACAATATAGTTGAAGTTTTAAATACCGATTCATGTATTCTGGACATAGGGTTTTGTCTTGTGAAAATCCTTTGCTTAATAATTATAATACAGAATTTTTACTGTGTACTTGCCACTTTTAATTCAGGCATTATGAGCGAACAACCTCTTATTCTCTTTGTATACATAGAAAGATAAAAAATAAAAATGAAAAAGAACTGCATGGAACTACAATTATATTTTCAAATGGGACTGAAGAAAAATGTGCAAATATCCTACTGTTAAATCAGAAAGAAATCTGGAAAGCATCCAGTTGGGCAACTTACTGCTAATATATTTTATAGTTTAGCATTTCATTATATGCAAGGTTGACATATGTTACTACAGTTTTCAAATCAAGAATTAATAGTTTGTGATTCATCAGTCTTTTGCCTTCTTCGAATTTCAACCTTGCA